TGCAGTTCATCCTCTGACTCACTGGTTGCAGAAAAAACTCAGTGAGTGGATCATCGCTTATCTAACCCAGCTGTTCGTACCCGTTTTGAATCAGAACTAGGGTAAGAGCTAAACGCGCAGCATCGCGGTGCTGCGAATGAACGACGGGCTGAGATTAGACGAGCGGTCCACTCCTTAGCGAGAGTTGCTTGTGAATCCGAACCGGTACCCCGTTCGAGACATTGGATATTGGTAACCCTAATGGAGAAAAAGCGGCGAATCCCGACCGTCTGGGATCAAAGCTGGGGGTAGTTGGCGTCTATCTTGTCAGCTCACGAAGAGCCTCAAGAGGGACCGTGAGAACTGGTGGGCAACAATAGCTAGTGAAACGGAAGTAGCAGCTACACCAGGGAATTGTCCAGGACTGTTCCAAATAATACGCAATGCTGGATGTCACGAACCCCAGTTGGTGAAATAATCTGCCACGATAGAGAACCACGGCTTGAACGGTGGGCGAAGTATTTTAACGAGCAGTTCAGCTAGCCCGACGTTAACCAGGCTATCCCGTCTGTTGTCGCTGACGCTCCGTTGGCAGTGTTGTGTGAACCTTCTTAAACAAGTGTACGACCTCCCATCCCCGCCACCCGACTTTGGTGGTAGGCAGCTCTGCTGTCGTCCATTTCAATACCACGCCTAACCTATCGGGGCCTGATGTGGTCCGCCACTCCAAGTCCCGCTGGGCTTAGGTTGTCGATTTCAATCACTGAACAGCAGGTCCTCATGACTATGGGGTTTACCCCGTCTGGTGTTCATCACACCTAAGTGTGTAATAAAAGAATCCTTTCCCTGAAGAAAGGAAATGCAACTAGACCTTACGGGTGTCCTCCCACTCTTTTCAAGATTTGGGGGCGATGAACTTGTAGATTCCGGCGGTCGCATTATTCGTTTGCGTAAAAGAAGCCTTCAACTCAGTTGATCGCCAATCCCTTCTGGGTTCGCTTCTTCGCAAAAGTATCCCTCAAAAGTATTAGAACAAATTAACTTCGCTCTACTCCCATACTTTTGGTATATATTATATAATATTTTCACACGTCTTAATCCTGACTGTAGCAAAAAATCATGGTACGGTAATCTTTATGAAAAGAGAAAAGTTCCATGATTTGCATGTGGGCGGAATACTGCCAGATAGCCCAGACCAAAGCTGGTGACTTTTCTTGGGGAACCACAACCAAAGCCTGACCCTCATGGCAGCGGGTCGGTGTGTGAAAACCGCGATCCATTGGGGGTCGGTGTCCAGTTCACCAAATCATACGCTCTTCGGACGGGGTCAAACATCCAAGGTGCCCAATACACCTCGATGCCCAATCGAGCCGGTGACTACTGCCANNGCCACAATCAAGGAGGATTTGGGTGGGTGTTGTTCGTACACCTCTTTAAGGTTGGTTTGGAATCAGGGTCCGACTCCCCTAGGTGAACTACCAGTGGTCCGCCAACCCTGTTATAGCCCCGGATGTCGGCTATTTGTCTTCTCACGTTGATGGAAAACACCGCCCCACGAAAGCGCAGTGAGTATGGCTTGCTCATCAGTTATTCGAGATACTTAGCCGCGTATGGGAGCAAGGGAAGGGTAACCAGCCGCAACCCTAGACACCCCCCCCGGGGGGGGGGGGANAAAGCTTTTGGAGGCTCTTTTTGCAGGGTCTTGTGGTGCGGTTCTACCGTGTTGACCATAAAGGTTCACTTTCGTTGCCTTCGTCTACTTAGACGCAATTCCGGCCCCTATTGTACATTCTCAACTATTCATCGACTGGATGCATCATCAGTATCACTGTACAGTCAACTATAGTGAAGCCAACTTCATTGATTACTACCAAGCTGATAATGTTTCATTTGTACAAACTAAAACTGAAACATGTTTAGGGTTTGTCAGCGACCAATACAGTTTGTTTGACTGTAGAACAGCGATTGTGCATCTGAATAATATCCCGGTAACTTCAGTCCACCTATGTATATATACAGATATATGATCACTTTTCACAAACGGCATACAAAGGTTATTGATTTTTCCTCCGGTCAAGCACCTCAACTGTACAGGAGCCCTCAGAGTTTCTCATATGAATTGTTCCCTCTATGTTTATGTTTTTTGTTTTGTTTTCCATTTTAGCATCTCCTCTACGCTTGGTCCTTCATTCTCCATCCCGACTCAGGCCTTGAACCTGGGCTTATCATTGCTTACTGACTGTCTGTGCCCACAGTGTTCATCACCTAAATGATGTCCACACCGTATGGACTGAGTGCACCGTTGTACGTTCATTCCGGTCAAACGGACTTCCATCCGGTTCCCTTCAGTGACTCGTATTCACCGGCGCGTGTGATACGATCACCGTCCGAATCGCAAATGTTTTGGGATCCAACCACACAACAGCATGCTTCGGGCCCATTCAGTCCGGTATCATTCCCGGGGAATACGATTGGTTGTGCTGTGAATGGCACCCAGTTTATGGGCAGTGATTCCGAAGAAGACAAAGATGAATTTGTCACATTTGGTACCTGTGTATCCCTACGCGGTGAACGCTCGGCTTATGATCCAATGCAACCAAACTATTCGGGGACTTCGGAACTGGAGGACACGTTAGCTAATGTACCTCTGAGTGCCGGTCTGGAGGCGGAAGAAGAATGTGATGAGGAGATGCTAAAAACTATGCAAAATGGTCTACCCGTACCGGATACGGTGGACTATGTCAGACTTGCTCGGGAGAATGAGTTGCTGCGTAAAGAGAATTTGCGCCTGCATGAATTGAATGAAACGTACGAGGCGAAGCAGTACACACAAAACGGAGAAGCTCTGCTTGCAGACAATGTCGTGGGAGAGGATGGTGACGATCAAATCGAGGAGATCATCGAGGAGGAAGTGCACACAATCAAACATGCCAGACCATCAATCGGTACGGCAGGAGCAAACCAAGTGCAGCAGGAATTCACCGAGTACATCGAACGTCAAGATGAGGCAACTCAGAGCGCACTACCGGGTCGAAGAAATGTCGGAACCGGAAATTGGAATGTACAGCAACACCACATGATCGATTTAAGTGCCCCCATGATTGACGAGACACAGTTCCCGGCATCCTATTGGTCTCGTTTGGAAGAACTGTTCTACAATCGTTTCTGTTCCAATCGTCCAATCACACGGGAGTTAGGTATACAGACTCGAGAAACCACGCACCGCACTACGGCCACAATGGCTGTGCCATTAACATCCACCCCGAGAGAACGTCATTGTTTCGGTGTCTCGGTCAGTCCAATTATGCAAAGTGTTGGAGTCATGTGCCCACAAGTTTCTACTCGCGAATTCGGTTGTACCACCGTGGAATCGGCTGCCGTAGTTCAAGATTGGATTGACAATCGTCTTGTCGGTGTCAATGATACCACACGAAAACTGGTTCAGCGGCTGTTCAAAAGTTCAATGCATAGTCGTGATGAGTTTTTGGAAACGATACTGCAAGTGGTCAAACGTGATCTGCGCCACGTAGGTTTGCAAATCAAACCGGAACAACGCTCCCAGTTTGCTTTTACTCGCAGTGAACGTCTCGTGTCTACCGCTTCCGGGGACAACTCACGAATAGACGAAACCGAAGCGAAACAGACCGAGTCTAAGCTGGTTGAAGCTCGCCCAGTTCAATCGAACCGTTCCACTGTGACACATCATATTATGGGAACAAGTGTGTCTTGTGAGACAGAGGCACCGTTGCTGCGTAGTCAAGGTGCTCAAGCTGTGCCCGAAGTACCGGATGTAACCGCATGTAGTGTGCAAGTTGGCCAGGCAGTACACACGGTTGACCAGGCGCTAGATCCAATTTTTTCACAAACAAGGCAAGCCACAATCGGAATACAAGTCGATGCGGAGACCTCGGAAACCAAAGTGTTCATGACCAAATCGGCCGAGGAAGTTGAACGTATGTGGCAATCACGCTCGGAGCGTTCTAGTTCGCATGCACAAAGTGGTCAAGGTGCGTCAGCCGGTGCAACGACGGAATCGACCACGTCAACAACAACAACAACAACATCC